TTGAAGATCAAATGCTTTTATTTCTTGCATTACAGGTGGAGGGGGTATTACATTTTACAAAAAGTGACCATGATTGTTGATTGCGCTTTAGGTTTCATTTTAACAGAGAGCAGAGGGCCAGAAGGGGCATCTTATGGGGTCAGCTGCCCTGTTACTCTGGAAGACAAGACAGCTGGAGGTAGCTGATGCTGTTTTGACATTATGCTTTGAGCGCAGATAGTTCTTCAGCACTGAAAGCTGGGAGCGGGGCTGGAAGTTGATGACTATCTCTATCAAAAAGGTTGATAGAGAGAAGCTTCTTCTTTATTTCTCAAGTTATAAAGGCAGGACACCTCTGTGCTACATTTGTTTACCACTCTGTACTAAATATGTTAGGTTCCTTGTCCAGGTGACACTCCAAATTGTACATCAAGAAGAACGAAATCGTATGATCTATGAAAACAGAATTTGCAAAATTTCGAATTCTGTTGTTTTTCTTGTCTTGCAGAGTTTTGACTTTGAGGAACGGGGCTCCCAGGCTAAGAAGCAATAAATAAATACAGTACTTTCATAATAAGAGTGTGTCCTCTGGTTATTTGAAATGTTACTCCGTTACTCTTTCTGGCTTTCAGACTTCATGCAACATTGACCATATTCTTTCAAGAATGTCTTTGCAGGCATATGGACTATAAACTGAATTTAGAACAGAAATAGTTCTGGCATACTTTGAGAGTTTAATTCCACATCTATGTCCTGCATTTTTCACCTCAGTTCCATTGAGACCAGAGGACCTTTGCATGAGGAGAGGACAGCTTTCTGTTCCACAAGTGAGGGGAGGGGGAAAAATACTTTGATAGTAATTTCTGGGAGGTAGTCTGGTTTGCAAGATGAAGGATTCTTTTCGGTTCAAATGCTTTATCATTAAACATTTTCTCTCTTTCTCTCTCCCCCCCCTCCCGTTTCTCTTTTTCCTCCTCTGCCAACTGCTGGGTAAAATTGGATAGCTCTGCATGCACTGGAAGGAAAGGCAGAGCGCAAACCTCTGCTAAAGTTAACTTGTAAAAATATTCAGCATGAATAATCTACTGCTGAATAAGGCTCTTGACTTATTATTTGAGGCATATGCATAGCACAGAGTCCCATTTCCGTTTCTGAGCAAAGAGGAAAGGCTGTTGTTTTCTCTGTTAACGCCGGTTTCTGAAATCCTCCCATTTGTGAGCGCCTCATTCTTTTACTTGGGTTTTTGCAAATAAGTGGATTGTCCCGTTAAGTAATCTTATCCCCTGGCATCATCCTGCAATGGACTGATTTCATCCAGAATAACAACCACCATCTTCCGCTTTATATAATTGAGGTGCAACACAGTTGGGTTCTGTCGTGTCCAATAAGAATTTGTTTGTAAGAAAATTGTAGAATTAGTTTCTATCCAGAATTCAGCTTGAGCGTGATGAAGAAGCCGGCGAGTGGGCAGAAGGGGGGGATACACTTTTCCCTATGGGCCTGCTTGGTGGATTGAAATTGGCCCACATCCCCACATAAACTGCTCAAGGCAGAATGTCTGCTGCATTCTCTCCCCAGATGAAAGGGCAACACAGGCCCCCCCTGGGAACTCTCCTGCACTTGCAAGAGCCTATTTAGAGGAAAGGGAGCTGGTACATGGTTGCTTAGCAAAGTGAGCCCAGCTCCCCAAAGGCACGCTGTGCGTTTTGATACTTACACCTTAGAGAAAAACCATAGGCTGAGCTTCTAAACCTTTTCATCAGATGTACTCGCTGTGGTCCCTCTGTGCGCGCCTATATTTCTGTTGGCTGTTTTGTTAATAAACCTCTTGTTTGACACTGCTAAGTTCTCATTTTTTTCTGGAAGTTTAATGTCCCCTCATCTGTGCAAGATCTGATCCGATTCCCTTGGTAGCAAAGGTCCCTGAAGGGGCTGTGTTTCATTGATGCCACCTTCAGACGATGATAATAATAATACTGTACTAAGCACGTGGATTCCCCTATAGCAGCACAGGGACGTACAGTATTTCTTTGCAATAGCAAGAAATCCCGATACAGAAGGATTTATTCTGAATATCATGTTAGGCAAAGACTGGTGTGTAGAATGTGATGAGCACGAGAGAAAGAGGATGAAACTACTAAGCCAGGAAAACAGCATGCAAAGGCATAATATGCAACACAGTTACACTTTCTTTTTTTCCCCTCATCTTGGGTTGAAGTGGAAGTAATTTTCGGTAGAAATCTCTGGGTAGCATTCAGAAATCTCAAAATGGGTCAGAATTGGTTAAACATTCTGTTCCTTTATGCCTGCATTTATAAAAAAAAACAAGGAGAAATAACAGATCTATTATGCTTTTTTCTGAAGCAGTTGTTCAAGGCAGAATGCTTTTTTTCTGAATCAACTGCTCAAGTCAGTGAACTATTTTTCCTACTAAGTTGCCTTCATTATGGAGATCAGAAATAGTTTTCTCTCTCTCTTTTGGACTATAACTCAGAATTTCCTTGTCGTGGCTGTGTACTGACTGTGAGATTTTTGAGAATTCTACTTAAAAAAAAGAAAGAAAGAAAGGTTTTCCCGTCTCTTAAGCATGAACATTGAAAGCGACCTTCAGGCCTTAAGTTTGACTCTTCTTTTAAATGTGACTGGACAGCACATAACCTTATCCGTATTCAGTGTGCGCCCATCCCCTTTGAGAGCTAATAATTCTGTAATAGTCTGAAACTGTGCACAGGAAATAGAACTCTGTCATTAGAAAACGTAAGTATTTGATAGGTGGAACAAAAGTCTCTTTTCAAAACAATGTCTCAGTGGCAAAGCACCCAAGCTGGCTTGCAGCATCATTCAGTAGCGCTTCCTTTGGGATGCTTAAAAACACACACCAGAGAATCAAGTTTGGAAGAATGTTGTACCCTTGCCTTCATTCCTCTGGTGGCTCATTCTTCCCCGCTTGAGGGTGTTTACTGGATTTCTTTCTTAATCACTGAGCAGAGCTCCTGCTCCAAAGAGGCCTTTCTCTTTTTTGGTGCTTTTATGGTGGCTCTTGACTCCGTTGATGTTGATAAGTCTTAGAAATGGGAAGTGGACTCTCAAACACCCCCCAGTGTTTACTTTCTGATACCAAACTCAGCAATTCTGTTCTAAAGTGGTAACTGTCTTGTCAACAGGGTCCATAGCTAGTTGCTCCCAGTGATGCTTGGAATGTACTATGAACAGAGATAGAATGTGAAAAATTAAGTTCTTTATCAACACAAGGTTGATAAGCTACTGAAATTTTACCATAGCTTGCGGAAGATGCAGGCAGACACGAACAGTATTGCCCTTTTCCCATTATCTGTCACGTCTGCTGCGTCTCACTTCATTTATTACAGGGCCTGACCGATGGAGCACTGACTTGTTTGACCATGAGTAAGGCCGATATGGATGCTCCGGGTGATCTACTAGCTAGAGTAATGAACTAGGACTCAGGAGACCCGGGTTTGATTCCCTGGCTCTGCCACAGAAACTCACTGGGAGGAAGTGGAATTGGCAAAACCACACTTTGAAATACGTCATGTACCTTGAAAGCCCTATTATGGTCACTGTAAGTCAGTTCTGACTTGATGACCCCTAACAATAAAGACAGACATGCTTTGGAAGAGCCTTAGCTCTTGTTCCTTCATTGCTATGGAGCCCTCCATTTTCCATGGGGAGAAGTGGTGAAAGTTTGTGCCTTCCTTATCCACTGTTCATAGTTTTCAACGGAATTCCTAGCAGAGTTTTTGTATGATCCCACTGACCCAAAAACCATGCTGTCAGATCCAAAGCTCCAGTAATCTTGCAACAGAAACCAATTGGTTGTTTTTGTTTTGTTTTGTTGGTTTGTTTGTTTTTGAGATCAACATTTCCAAAGCTCCAGTAATCTTGCAACAGAAACCAGTTGTTGTTTTTTTGTTGTTTTTTTTTGTTTTTGAGATCAGTATTTCTGTGGAAGGTGCCTTACTGCTTGGCCTGGCTTTTCATCATATGCATCTTTCACTGTGCCTCGTGGCACAGTGGTTAAACCGCTGTACTGCAGCCAAAACTGTGCTCACGACCTGGGGTTCAATCCCCGGTAGCTGGCTCAAGGTTGACTCAGCCTTCTATCCTTCCGAGGTCGGTAAAATGAGTACCCAGCTCACTGGGGGGGGGGGCAATGTGTAGCCTGAATAATTAACTTGTAAACCGCCCAGAGAGTGCTTGAAGCGCTATGGGGCGGTATATAAGCAGCACGCTTTGCTTTTGCTTTTGTTCATGCTGATGTTATATGAGTGGAAGCTGAACACCTTCCATATGCATTGTCTCCAATGCATTTTTGGTATCACCTGGCAGGACAAAGTTACAAATAGAGTAGTTCTAGATCGAGCTGGAATTTTCAGCATGTATACATTACTGAAACAGCGACGCCTACGTTGGCTTGGGCATGTTGTGAGGATGGCTGAGGGTCGGATTCCAAAAGATCTCCTGTATGGAGAATTAGTGCAGGGAAATCGCCCCAGAGGGAGACCACAGCTGCGATACAAGGACATCTGCAAGCGGGATCTGAAGGCCTTAGGAATGGACCTCTGAGCGTTCAGCCTGGAGGCAGGTGGTGCATCACGGTCTCTCCCAATTTGAAGACACCCTTATCCCGCAGGCCGAGGCCAAGAGGCAGTCCTGGAAGCAGCAAAATCAGGGAGCTGGATAGGGGACAGATTGTATTTGTCTTCATTGTGGAAGGGATGATCACTCTCGGATTGGCCTTCTCAGCCACATTAGATGCTGTTCCAAGTCCTCCATACAGAGCATGTTTCCATAGTCTCTCGAGACTGAAGGATGCCTAAGAATATATAATGTAATGTGGAAAGCAGTGGGGATGCCAGAGATGTGGAAGCTGAGCTGCTGGTGTGGTTGACAAGCATTGCAAAAATAAATGTTAATAGTTGCTAAGAATATTCTGCAAAATGAAACAAATGTTTTTCTTAAGGGTTTTTTTAAATTAACCTTTCTTTCTTTCTCTTTTAAAGTTACCTCCCATGGTTCGAAGTCTTTTATAAGCTGCTCAACATCTTGGCAGACTACACAGTGAAAGGCCAGGTACCTATCCAGAACGTTCCCACTGTCTAAGTGTCTGGCTATGCCTAAGCGTGCATGGTTTTAAAGGCGTACATGTGTGTTTCTGTGAAATTGTATAAACATTCAAATCTGAGGCTTAGTTCAGATGTGACATATTTCACCCCAGAAATGGGTCATATGAAGACTTCCAAATTGCACACCTGTGAATTACTGAGGTGATGAAACCTGAAGTATGCATCTCAGAGGCATAGAGAAAAGGGCATGAATTTTTAAATGAGAACATTTAGCTCACACAAGAGGGTGGCAGTCAAGCTCTTGCTCCCATAGCAAAGCAGAGTAAATCTATATCCTGTTCATGTTGTTTCCAAAATGTTGGAGGTTTTCATAGGAGTTTCATATCTGAATGGGCCCCAAAATTGTTTTCAACAAGAAGAGGTCCTAGAAGGTTTCATTCACACAACATGAAAAGTCTCTCTGCTGGTTACATTTCGGATGTCAGTGTCCCAGGTCTTGTGCACTGCATTTACCAGTAAAATGCCTGTCGCTACAAGTGATAGCATTTGCGCATAGAGTGGCTTCTGTATTACAAATACAATGGGCATTTTTGAGACGCATGACAATACTCATTCATGCAGCCTCTTTTTAGGAAGGGTAGTTTTTTTTCCGTGTCATATCTCCAGATGGAGTTATTTATGCCAGTAAGGAAGCTTGTAGGAAGGCACTTTGATTTATAATGTTCTTTTTGCCATTAGTCTCCTCAAAAGTTGAGAGTCCATAACTGTTCTTTTCCCTCCTTGAAATGCCATTCTGGTTCCTGGGCTTCCTTAGATGGCGCATGACACTGTCACTATATAGTTTCTCAACATTTGAACACTTCCTCCTCTCCCACTTTAAAAAGTTGAAATGCTTAATTACCAGTGGCGAGATCATAAAACTATAATACCCTGGTATTTTTTTTGCTCCTCCCCCATTTGTCTTTGGCACTAACCATTGGAATGTTTCTTGAATTTAATTGGGCCCCTCAGGCTGAAGAAGTTTCCCCATCTTGATTATGAGTGAGAGCGTGTATGACTGTTAGATCCCCTGCTTTATAGCCATGTTATCCAAGTCTACTTTGCTTTTTACAGCTATTGTTGTTGCTTGTTTCAGGAGAGCCAGTGGTATGAACTCCTAGAAACACTTTATAAACTGCCGATTCCTGAGCCAGGTACTTCTGTTCATCTCAGTGTGGTAAGTAGCATATCTGATATAAGGAAACGGTGGAAGCATTTTATTCTCTCTTGCTGTAGCCCTGTACTCAGTTACACGGAAATAACTTTATTAAAAACTCTGAAGAAGTGGCTCTATCCATGAAAGCCCCCATTGAAATGCAGCAACATTTCTGGTTTTTTAATTATTATTATTTTTTACTTCTTGTTGTTTATTTTTGTCTGGATTGAAAACTTAGTGGCCAGAACTTTATTCTGTTTTTACATATGGGGAAGAGCAAACATGGTGGCTAATATGCCTGAATACCATGAAATTTACACCTCATCCAAGAGTAGCAGAGGCTTCTGTATTTCCTCTTCTGCTTATGTAAAAGAAACTAAAGTTTTTGGCCAGTGAGACTTAATTTTTGACAAGGCATGCATAGGATTGCACTGTGGGTTGAATGGAAAGCATTAAGCTTTTTTTCTCCCGCCCGTCTTCAAGAGGTAGTACTGATATAAAAATTAAATGGAAGGTTGAAAAATGGAAGTCCCTATTAAAGGCTGTCTGCTGTCTTAAATCTCAGCCTGTGCGTGTGTGTCTGAGATGCTTCAGTCTTTTGCATGCAGGGACAGGCAATTTCGAAAGGTCTAGAGGCCAAATGTTGGCCCACAGATCCCCTGGTAGCCATCTTGAGGCCCCACCAGGAACAAACATGGGATAAAACCCAAATAAATAAATCAATAGTAGTCCCCAGAATGTCCACAAATTTTCTCCATACATATATGTGCGTGTGTGTATTTAAAAGAATATGAAATGACTAGATGTCTGTTTCTGGTTTTCATTTTTTTACTTTGCCCTGTAGAAAAACTGCTACTTCAGGAGGCTTCCAGGAGGAGAAGAAACCAGATTTATGGGGGGAAA